ATTGATCAAAATATGACATAGTTTATATAAAACTTACTTGATAAGCATACATTTGACCAATCTTTCCTTAACACTTGCTATGACAGCCACTAAGCTAGATGCTGGAAATGCAAGGGTGAATGAGGGTAGGTGGTTCCTACCCTCAAAGAGGGCAAGGTCTAGTAGTAGAGACAGGCATTATGCAAATATTTAGCAAAGATGAGGGTAAAAGAAACACAATATTTTTTTTAAATCCATGGTACAAGAGAAACTTATCCCCCTCTCTCTTTCTTTCAGAACACTTTCCTTAGAAAATATGCAATTGTAAATTTTCTGTCCCATCAATATGTAAATCTTTTTAAAGTTTTAAAGTTTCTCAGCAGCTTTACAACACAGGAATAATTTTAAAACAATTTTTTTTAATAGTTGAATATAGACAAAATGCCTTTATTTTTGTACAGTGCTAAGAATCAAACCCAGTGCCTTATGCATGCTAGGCAAATGCTCTGCCAAAACTTTTGAGGACTTGGGAGTCTCTCTGAAATGTATCATCAAGAAAATGGCACCCCTCCCAGTTTCTGTGGGACAGTAGGGCCCTAACTTACAGATGCCTGGTTCCTAAACTGTCTCTGGTCATGAAGATATAAGGTGTTTCTTTTCCTTTGGATAAAACCATTTCTCTAACATGTATGGTCACCCCCAATTAGTAGGATGAACTTAATGCTCATCCTAAAGGTGTGACAATGGTACCTGTCAAGTTCTGTTACTTAAGGACTAGTTATTGTTTATTTTGAGAACATGTGTGCCATGGGTTGTATTTGCTTGGCTACATAAAAACCCAAGTTTTCTTTCTGTCCTTGCAATCTGCTTGGGGCCTTGCCTGTGATACATATCATGATCTAGTTTTATGCTCATTCAATAATAGAATTGTTTTATTTTACTTCTACCTATTTTCTCTGTAGTCAGGAGATTTTATTTTCAATTATACTTCCCCAACAAGGCAAACAAGAATTCTCAAGTACTGTTGTTAGGAGGGAAATCCCAGATAGCCCTTCTGGAAAGTTATCAGACAGTACTTAGTGAAGTCAAGTATGTTTGTTTGGCCAATAATTCCATTCCTATTATACATTCTAGAGAAACTGTCCTTAATAATTACAAGGCTGTCGAGTGTTGTTTAGTCAACCTAAGTGCCCATCTCTAGAGAAACACCAAAAAAGCCAAAACATGGTTGTTGTACATTAGGGAATATTGTATAGAATATAGAAACAATGAATTGGACATACATATATAAAAAGGACAAATCTTAAAATAGCATGGGATTTTGATTGGCATTGCATTAAACCTATAGAGAGTTTTTGGTAATATCGCCATTTTGATGATGTTAGTTCTGCCTATCCATGAACAGGGTATATTTTTCCATCTTCTAAGATCTTCTTCTACTTCTCTCTTTAGG